TATTCCTCGCGTCATTCCTGCATGTACTCACAGCGGCAGCCCGTTCTTATGTGGCTTTCCTCCAGCGCTGTGTGTTCTTGAGGCTGGCCTTGCTCTGTCCCCCTTGTGCTCTCCAGTTGTAGCTGCTCCACACAGCTAGGTGGCCTCTCATCACTCCAGGACCTCATGCTCTTGTATCTTGCCTGAGGTTCTAGGCCTAGAACAGTGGGCATCTCCCCCCGCTCCCATAGTAATACAAAGTGGCTAGTAGAATGATTGAATATCCATGAGAGTGCTCATATTTGAACCTAAAATCTAGTTAGAAACAAAAAATACAGCTTCTTCTTTAGTAGTTTTTTGCAAGATATTTTTTCAACCTCCTGTACCGGTACGCTCTTTAAAATGTACAGGGTGTTAGAAGTGCAGCTCTGGCCAAGTGCTTGCCCAGCATGTGCAAGACCCCAAGCTGGGTCCCCAGCACCTCCAAGAGGAGAAGCAAGAAGAATTTGTACGCAGCCTGTCTCCTCAGAAATCAGGCGTTTCTAGTAGATAGGTGCAGTTGGGATCATCATATTTTGCTTTGAGACTGTCACTTTCTCAGCTTTTCAGTCATTTGCAGGAAGAGCTAGCAGTGCTGCATGACAAGGGAGGGACAGTTTGAGACAGAATACTGGGGTAGCTCTTGTGGGGAGTAAGTATCCCAAGTGCATTCATAGCACTGTATTTCATAGCATAGTTCTCTGCTTTGTAGCTGGAGGATGAAAAAGCACTGAACATTGTAATTTTTTATTTTTTTGTCTTTTTGAGACAGGATCACATTATACAGTTCAGGCTGGCCTTGAGTTCACTTTGTAGCCCAGGCTGGTCTAAACCTTATAATGATGTCCTGTCTCAGCCTACTGAGTGCTGGGATTGTAGGTGTGCGCCACCAGCCTCTCTCAACGTTGTATTTCTGTTTAGACGTTGAGCCCAGGGGCTCGCAGGTCGTATGCAGGCACTCACTGCTGGGCTACCACATTGCCTTTGGGCTGTGGAAATCCTGTGTTTGTAAATATTCTTTTTTTTTTTTTTTTTTTTTTGGCGGAACCGGGGGTTGAGCTCAGGCCCTTGCACTTGCCAGGGAAGCGCTTATTCCACTGAGCCATCTCACAGGGTCTCACCACACAGATTGGACTCATAACGATCCTCCTGTTTTCAGCCTCCTAAGCACTGGGATTACAGGCACGTGCCACCGTGCCCAGTCTCAGTTGCTGTCTCGGTGGGGCCAGCATATGAGGCCGGGGATCGAAACACGGTCCCTATGTCTGCCTAAGCAGGCGCTGTAATCCACTGAGCTGTCTGGCCAGCCCTTGCTCTTAAATGCTGAGTTTTCCTGTCCCCGTCTCCCAAGTGCTGGCATCGCACCATGCACTGCCACTTCCCGGTGGAGAATGGGATGTTCCTTATTAAGGCAACAGTTTCAGCTTTTACGACTGATGTCTGCACCTTAGATTCTTGATGATTGCAATACTGGTCTGCAGGGTAGGCTTCCTAGGTTCTTGGGGGTCAGCCGGGCTTCCTAAGAACCAGGCAAGTAAAGGCCGGTTCCCCAGAAGTTTCAGCACGTCTGGGTGGCTTCCAGCAGTGCACATGTGCTGTCGTAGAGCCGGGTCCCTGCGCCAGCCTCTAGTGCCCCTTCCTGCTTCTCAGGCTCTGAGTAGAAGCCGGCCCTCCTTTTCCATCTCGACTGGGTCGTATCTGCCAAGAGCCTGTTTCCAAGTGAGACCACATTCTGAGGTGCCATGGATTAGTACTTCAGTAGAGGTATACTTTTGGGGGATGATTCTTGCCATAGGAGATGCTGTTGTGTATCCATTGTTTCCTAGCTCAGAGGTAAAGTTGCTGAATTTTACTGTTTTGTTGAGACAAGGTCTCGCCATGTGCTTCATCCTGGAGAGTGCAGGGGCAGTCTTGCCGTTGCCATCTCCCTCTTGGCCAGAGGCTGGAACAGGGCTGGCCCTGCACACAACTCCCAGGGTGTAGGCAGTGCTGGGTCGCTCTGTGCTGTGCTTGGGGATGTCGTGAGTCAGCACTGCGTCACAGCCTCTCCGAGCAGAAGCCGAAGCCTGGCGGAAGGTGTCACGTTGGCAGGTGCTTCGCTGTGACCTGTGCACTTTACCAGACCTAGAGCAGATGTCACATGCCTTTTCTGAAGGAAGAAAACTAATGGCTTCCTGTTTCCTCTGCCTTTAGTTCCATGTCTCCCAGCGCCCAATATAATGTGTAAGGACTCCAGTGGCAACGAGACACATTTTACTGGAAAGGAAGTTGGTTTTTACAAGCCCATACCTTGCCGGAATGTGTAAGTACATGACTGGCACTGAAAATTTCAGATGACTGGTCCGTGGGGTTTCTGCATCTCGGGAAAGAAGAGAAAACTTATGGAGGAGACCTGGACGTGTGCCCTCATGCTCTTGCTGGTGGCTGTCGGGGAGTGCTGTGCTGCTCGCCGCATCCTAGTCCTTGAAAGCCATCCGGTCAGCAGATGGTGAAAAGGAACCCTCTTGGGGAGAGCTGAGAGGGCCAGACTGGAAAGGTGGTCTCCGCTACCTTTCCTGCAGCCTTCATACCGTGGGCCAGACTGCAAGGCCAGCGAGGAAATGTAGCTCGGCTGTTTATCAACTTAGGAGAGAGAACTGGTCTGGTGACTGACTAGACCGGCTCTGCCGTCCACTCATTCCAGATTGTTGTTTAGCGGAGTCACCTCCACAGATGATTGCTCTTCAGATTTCATTCCCTTTCCCAGCCACCTTTCTGTTTTGCTTTGCTTTGCTTGGGACCTTTGCTGGTCGCTCTACGTGGTCCAGGCCAGTCTTGTACTCGCCACAATCCTCTGAGCAGGCCCTGCCAGACCCTCGGCTTAGTAGAAATCCTTGGCTTGCGCCTTGTACAAGCTCATCCCAGGTTGGTGTGGCAGGCCTTTCTGTCCTCCGCAGTGCCACCTTCACCTGACTCCAGGAAGCCCTGCTCCGCTGTTTGATTTTGTTGCCCTTTGCTCTGTGGTCTCCTTTCTGGTTGCTTTTCTGCCCCGGCATCTCTCTGTGTGTGAGAGCTGGGGGGGCTGGGGCCTTGGGCTCGCCGCTCCGTATGCGCCCCCAGAACCCACACGTGATCTCAGTGCATCCTCTGTGTCTGCTGCTGTGCTCTCCAGTCAGGACTTCTCCCCGCAACCCCAGCTGCTTTCTGGATGCGTCTACTTGGCTGTCTGATGAACACCTCAGATGCACACGTCCAGAACTCAAGTCCTGATTTTCCTTCCCAGATATCTGCATTCTCTGCCTTTCCAACTCCTAAGTGCTGGCTTTGAGGGTGAATTCTCCTGGACTTCCCTTCCCCCTTTCCTTTTGCTTGCCCTAAATGTGAAATATGCCAGGGAAGAGGATCCCCCGAAAATCTAGGACCAGCATGGGCTATATAGCGAGATGCTATCACAAGTAGACAAATAAAAACAAAAGCGAAACAGACCAGAAAATCTGGTAGCTGCTCGAGTGTGCTGTGTGTCTGCGATCTGACCACTTCTCACGTTCTTCATGTGTTGTCTGGGTCAGGCTCTTGTTGCTGTAGAAGTTGGAGTTTGCTTAGCCACATTCCTCCATCCTGGTCAGTTCCTGTCATGGTCTGTGGCGCCAGGTCTCTGTCACGAGGCTGTGTAGACTCCCACACCAACGAGTGTAGCTGTGGCTGCAGCACTTAATGCCACCTACGTAATGTTGGCAGGCGTGAGACGAGTGGAAGCTCAAGTGTGGGGTCTGGCTTCTGTTCCTCCTTTGGCACTGTGTTTTGGAAAGACCTGGCCTCAAATAGGAACTCCACTGTAGTTTTGGGTTTAGAAAGCTCTCAGGCCGTAATGCAGTCTACAGCCGCAGAGCTGAGCACAGGCTCTCTGCAGTCCACCCAGGTGAGGGTTGTGCTCACTGGCATAAGCCACCGAGTTTTGGGGTGGTTGCTACTCTGTGACAGTATAGTAGCAGCAGTTGACAAATGCTCACTTAAGAGTCTATAGTTTTAGCACAGCAGCTAGAGTGATTATTTTACATGGTAAACCAGGTTGGGCTGCACCTTTACTTCAGATCCTGCAGTGGCTTCCCGTTTCTCAGAGTAAGCGTATTTATAGTGGGACATATGGGACATGTGCACCCTTCACGCCCCACTTCTCTGACCCCCACCTCTGGAGGCTTCCCTGTTCTCTGTTCCTGTTGCTGGCTATGTGGATCTCAGGCCTGCAGGGTGCTGGCTTGTTTTTCCTGTGACACTCTGCCCGGTGAGGTTTGGCATGGTGAAGCTCATGTCCTCCCTGGCTCTTTGCTCCCGTGCCACCTTCTGTGAAGGTTCATCCTACCACTCATTACATTCCCCTGGCATCTGGATTCCTCACACACACGTTTATATTTTCCCTCTCATAACTGTTAAGACTTTCTAATTTGCTTTTCTAATAGTTTTGTGTTTGGCTTGCTGCCACTAAAACAGCAGCTCCTTGGGGACAGTGATCTTTGTTGTTTCTTTGTTAATAGTCTCCCAGTAGCTTAAAGAAGAATGCACCTGGTACACTGAGGACACCTACCGAGCATTAAGGGAGTGAGTGAGCCAGTCTAACAAAGAACAGTAGTTCACAGCTTTTGTTTTCTGAAGTGGCGATGCGTGAACATGGCTTCTGTTTCTTCCTGCACAGAAACGGCTACTCATACAAGGTGGCGGTTGCGCTGTCCCTTTTCCTTGGATGGCTGGGAGCAGATCGGTTTTACCTTGGGTACCCTGCCTTGGGTGAGTACATGTCAGCGGAAAGCGTGAGCAGGCTGCGTCCCCCTGCGAGCCGTGTCCTGGTGCCGGCGGCTGGGCTCCTCCCGCTCTGCTTTGAGCCCGAGCGAGGAGTGACAGGCTGTCCTGTGCATCCTCCTTAGGAAAGCATACAGGGCGGCACGGCGTTGGCTGGAAGCAGCGGGCTGCAGCCCCCACACCTGGCCAGCGGCATGCACCCCCCTCTCTGCGTCTCCCCTCCTGTCTGCTCTGTCCTGCACGCTGGGATAGCCTTCACAGTGTTGTCCTTGCCAGTTTTGGGAAAATGAACACCTCACAAGTGCCTGGAGCTTTTCTTAAGTACTGCTTCTTTTTAAACAAATTTTATTTAAAAGAATTATTTTTACTAGTGCACAGGTGCACTGCATAGTGGTGACATTCTTCATGTAAGGAGCTTGCTTCATTTTCCTACACCCCTGCCCCCCGCAGCCCCTCCAGACCCTGCCCTGCTCGAGCCTCATGACTGAGCCCACAGGGAAGCCCTCCCTGAGGAGCTGAAGGGTTCCTACTGAAAGAGGCCTTGCTGCCATCGTTGTTCCATGGAGACAGAAACTCTCCTGAGATCACAGGTTGACCAGGCCTCTCAGCTCTTGGCCTGAATGTGCCTCTTTCTCTTTTGTTTTTGGTGGCATTCAGAACCTAAGCAGGGCCTCATGCTTGCTAGGCAAGCCCTGTGTCCTGAGCAGTGTCCCCAGGCCCGAGACCCGAGTTGGAGCCCTGCTCTCTGCCACCCTTCAGCTCTGCGGCAGCCTTTGTGCAGCAGCATGGAGGCCTGGCACTCGTTTTCCCTCTGCAAGCTGGTCCCACTCCTGGTCGCTGCCCACCACAGATGGAGGAGTGGACTTCACCGGGTCTCTGGGAGGTGGTCCTCGGAGGCAGCCTTGGGTTTTGAAGTAAAAACCAGGCTTTAAAGTGCTGCATTCTCTAGTTTGCTCAGTGGGCACTTCCTCAGAAGTGATGATGAGGGTGGCAGTATATATTGATGAAAAGGAAATAAATATCACACAGAGGCCGAGCACCCACCTGTAACCTCAGCGCTCTGGGAGGTCGAGTATATCAGCCAGAGCGTAGCAGGGTAACAGATGTAACGCAGAACACACAAGTATGGCTTACAGAGTGTGCACAGTGGCTGTCTGCAGCCAGGTGGGGTGGGGGAGGATCCAGAAAGGCTCTCTGCTGGAGGCCAGTGGATGCAGTCAGGTGGGAGCCCGGGAGCTCAGCGCAGCGTCCTGTTGGAAGGCTGAGCAGTCTGCCCTGGAAGCCAAGGTGAAGGCCAAGCTGGCGCTCCTCCGGAGAAAGCGGAGCAGGCCTGCCGCCTCCTTTCCCCCTTTTAATTCCATGCAGCCTGTTGGCTGGTGCCACTCGCACCAGGATGGGGCTTCCATCTGCACTAAGCGCACTCAGTCACACCCGGAGTGATGCCAAGCCAGTCAGTTGGGCATTTCTTACTCAAGTGGCCCCAACAGTTCGCTGTCACACTCAGGCAGGATTGCCAGTTTAAGCCAGCCTGGGCAGTCTGTCAACTTAATGAGACCCTATCTCACTTAAAAAAAAAACAAAGGCGGGGGATTTTGCTCAGTATAAAAACCCTGGGTTTGGCTGCTACTACTGTAAAGAAAACTAAAAAGGAAAATTAAACCCTAAGTTCTGGAGCCCTGGAGCTGTGGGTGAGCAGGCTGTGGTCCTGTCGTGACCGCACCGGCCTCCCAGGACTGCTCTGTGTGGCCTCTGCCACTCTTTTTTTGTGAAACCGGGGATTGAACTCAGGCCCTTGTGCTTGCCAGGCAAGCACTTATTCTACTGAGCTATCTCCCTGGCCCCTTAATATTTTTAATTTTTTTTTTTTTAACTTATCAAATCTGACCTGTATGCTGTGGGGAGGCTGCTGGTGGGCCTAGCGCTTCCTCCTCCATGGGAAAGTGCCGCCCATGGAGCACTCACAGGAGTGAGGGCCTGTTTACCTTCTTGGGTCTCCTCTCACTCCCCATAATTGCAAATGCAGGATTTCTGACCTTGTTAAGGCTGAATCCACTTTTTAAAGGCTGAGATGCTTACAGCCCTGTCCCAGGTAGAGGATGATAGCCAAAACATGCCAGGAACTTACACAGCTCAGTAGCAGAAAAGCAGCTACCCTGATTTAAAAGTGAGCCAAAGACCTGACTAAGAAACTTCTACTTTTTTTTCCCCCTCTTCCTTTCTTTTCCAGGGTGTTCAGGGTCTCACTACTAGATCAGACTCGAAATGATCCGCCTGTTTACAGCCTCCCAAGAGCTGGGATTACAGGTGTGCCCCACCACACCCAGTCTCAATTGCTGGCGGGGCTGGCATGGCAGACCTGGGGATCGAACCCCAGCCCTTGTGCTTGCTTGCAGGTGCTTTAATCCACTGAGCTATTTGGCCGGCACTGAAACTTGTGTTTATTTTATTTTTAAAAAATAGCATCATGCAGGGCCGGGGAGATGGCTCAGTGGAATAAGCGCTTCCCTGACAAGTGCAAGGTTCTGAGTTCAATCCCCAGTTCCGCCAAAAAAATAAATAAATAAAAATAAATAAAAAACTTTATTTTTAAAGAGTAAAATATAGTAAAAAAGCCAAAAAAACCCCCAACAACATTAGAAGTGATACAGAATTTTACTAAACAAAGTAATAGGGATTCAGCAGTGGTTGTTGTATTGCATGTTGTTGCTTTCAAATTAGTTGTTCAGATCGCCAGCTGTAGTCGTGCAAAATTGGTCAGAAAGCTACACAAAATTGAAAAGGACAGTGGAAAAAAAAACAAACAACTTGGAAGTGTTACCTGTTTCTCTCAGTAGACCAGCAGAAATCAGCAGTATGATTATTGAAGCTTGAAAAAACTTTTAGAAGAGAGAAAATTCCCTTAATAAAAATGTTCTTTCTGGTTATTTTGGATGAATTGCTATAATCTCATAAAGCCTTATTTCCCTTAGTTGATCTATTCTTTAGTGTAATAGAGCCGCTTTAGCAGGAAGTTGGTTTTTTTTTAGACCATGAAACCTTGTTTTACTCATAATAGCTGTTGTGTGAGAATGACAGAGTGGCATGTTCTTAAGCCCACATCCTAACTATCTTTGATAGTGGCATTTATTTCTTTGTTTGGACTGGTGTGTGATACTCGCTCATCACAGGGCAGATGCAGGATCTCCAGCAGCCTTCCACGGGGCTGGACACTCGCCTGCACAGACCCGGATGCCTGTCCCGGGATCCTCGAGAGGCGTGGGACTTGGTGGCGGCCTCCGTGGGAACACTCTGCTTTCCTTAAAGAAAAAAGCAGTCATGTCAGTAGGGTAGCATTTGCAAGATTCACACCATAGTGAGACAAAAACCATTGGGACTTCAGTGGAAGCATTGCAGATTGTTGTTGTTTTTTCTTCTATTTTAAAGATTAAAAAAAAAATAAAAGGAATGCAGAGTTCCAGAACAGGCTAAGCTAGTTTCTGTTCTTTTTGTGTGTGTAGAGTGTTGGGTGCTGAGCCCAGGCCCAGCTCTGTTGTTTGACTTGACTTTTAATTTAATTTTATTTTTATTTTTTGGCGGAACCGGGGATTAAACTCAGGCTCTTGCGCTTGCCAGGGAAGCGCTTTATCCACTGAACCATCTCCCTGGCCCCTTGACTTTTAATTTTATACCTCATTAAATTATTTTGTTGTACTCATGTTTTTTACTTTTTTTTTTCTTTTGGTAGGGGGGTTGAACTCGGGACCTCATGCTTGCCAGGCAGGCCCTTATGCCACTGAACTATCTCCTCTCTCCCTTTACTTATTTTTTAACATAAAAAGCCAGCTTTATACTTCTTAGTTTCATTTAAATAATTGAAGCAGGGACTACTCTGCCTTTCAGGGAGTTCAAAATAGCATTTCTTTTAAAATTAAATTTATTGGGTCTGGGGAGATGGCTTAGTGGCATAAGTGCCTGCCTGGCAAGCACAAAGTCCTGTGCACATACCTATAATCTTGAAGTCTGGGAGACTGAGGCAGGAAGCGCCTAACTCAAGCCCAGTCTGGGCAATTTCTTTCTTTCTTTCTTTTTTTTTTTTTTCTTTTTGCAGTACTGGGGATTGAACTCAGGACTTGTGCTTCCCAGGCAAGCACTTATTCTACTGAGCTATCTCCCCAGCAGGGCATTTTTAATACTTAGCAAGATCCTTGTGTCTAAAATAAAAGATAGGCTGGACGTGGTGACCCATGCCTGTAATCCCAGCATTTGTGAGGCTGAGGTGGGAGGATTGTTGTGAGTTCAAGACCAGCCTGAGCTACCAAGTGAGCTCAAGGCCAACCTGAACTGCATAGTGAGGCCCTATTTCCAGTAGCCAAGAAAAGATAAAGTGGTGTGGAAGCTGCCCAGGGTGAAGGCCCTGGGTTCGCTCCGGCCCCTCTCCCTTGTCCCTTCTAATTATCATGTCTTTGGATTGTGTCCTGGGCACATCCAGATTCAGTGCTCAGTATCCGCTTCTGTGGTGTTTGGGTTGTGAAGTTGGAGCTGAGGACAGAGTACAGGCTCAGCACCCAGTCATGGGCTTCACCTCCACACTGACAGCCAGAGCTGCTTAGGAGAAGCAGAGGCGGAATTGCAGTGTAATCAGGGTCTTCCTGACTGTGGTGGTTGTCATTTTGCAGCACAGCACGTGACATATTTTCTACTGTAAATGTAAAAACTAAAGTTTGAGTCACATATTACGTGAAATCTAAATAAATGAATTGCTAAGGATTTCAGTAGAGAGTGTGCTCTGGCTCTGGTGTCTGAGTATAGAGAGTTTGGTTCCAGGCTGTGTACAGGAGGCAGTCCTCTAGGAGTTTTGTGAAGTTACACTGGGGTCCCCCATGGTAAAATTTGTGAAATAAATGAATACATTCTTTTGTGGCGTTTCTCTCTCTGAGATTCTTTTAAGCTTTCCTCATATTTTTCAAATGAAGATGATTATTATCTCTTTTTTTTTTTTGCTGGCTCAGCCCACCCTGACAGTGGGTTGGCACAGCATGTGGTGCTGGGAATCCAACCGCTGTCCCCTGTGTCTGCCTAAGCAGGTGCTTTAGACCTATGAGCTATCTTGCTGGCCCCCAAAAGACTGGATTTCTAAAAGTATTTTGTATTCTAAAGACTTAACGTACAGACATGGAAGTTTGTTAGTATTTGTAAGATATTCCAAATAATAAGTGTCTTTATTTTATTTTCTAGGTTTATTGAAGTTTTGCACTGTAGGATTTTGTGGAATTGGGAGCCTAATTGATTTTATTCTTATTTCAATGCAGGTAAGTCTGCTCACCCTGGACTGGAAACTGCTTTTACCCTAAGACTATGTATAGACAGCTGTGGGCGTGTAAGGCGCCGATAGGGATGCTCTGCGTGGTTTCTCTGGGCAGGTGCACAGGGAGTCGTTTCCCAGGCTCGAGTTGCTCAGAGCAAAGGAGCTGAGCTGAGCACAGCAAGCGCAGGCTGTGTCCCCCAAGTGACCAGCCTCTTCTACGTGTGCGGGCTCAGTTGCTCTGCCAGCTGTCATGGCAGGACGAGGGTGGACGGGTGTGCGTGTTGTCACGCGGAACTGAGCCAGATGTCCTGTGCAGAGGTGGAAGCCTAGCAGGCTTAGGCCACAGAGTGGAGGATGGCGTGGGAGCCTGTGGTGTGCCGGGGTGCAGCCCTGCGTATACTGCCTGGAGGGCTCCATCTGTCCCATGGGGTTACACCTTCTGAGGTGGTACGGTGCTGTGCCCAGCAAGCACTGTGGATGCTGCAGCTGATTTCTGCTCAGTTATGCTGGGCCATGTGTGGTGAAGCCGAACATGAGCCCCAGTCAGAGAAAGCTGTGTTCTCCTCAGCACCCTGCTTGCACCCACCCTGGGGCCCCTGCTGTCTGCCCATGTTGCCGTCCTGTGGTGTCCCTGTGTGCAGCTCTGTTTCCCCACCACACCTGTGCTGCATCATGGCTGCTGTGCAGTTCTGTGACCATCGTGCACCCAGAGGAAGTCAGTGGGGACCATACTGTGAGGAGGAGGCAGCATATGGGCCAATAAGATGGCAGAATTAAACAAGGGAAATGTTTGGTTTCAAGTTGGGATTTCCCTGCCTTTGCTCAGAACATATGCCCAGCCCTGCCCCTCCTGCTTCCCCTCACCGCCAGCGACAGGGACAGCCGAGCCGTGGCGGGAAGAGGCTGAGGGAGCTGTCACATATGCTTCCGAGAGGGCTTCCCATTCTAGGGAGGATCTGGGATTCTGCCTGTGAAAACTGGGACCTGGAGCACCTGCGAAGGCCAGCGTCCCTGTTTGCGCTTCCCTGTGAGGTCTCTTCGCTGCCGGTGGGCCCTTTGCTTTGCAGCTGCAGCTGTAGCACGTTCTAGGCGGGTCTGGCGAGGGTGCATGTATTTACCACGCTCGCGGCAGGTGGGCTTTAAATAGCGTCTGAGGTTGGAACCTGCCACATTGAAAGGCACTGAGGTAGACGGTGGGACTAGGTTTCTGCAGTGAATTTCCCTGCGGACGTTTTACAGGTGTGGCCAGTGGACAGCTCTCAGGTGGGGTAGACAAGACGTGTGGCCTTATTCTGCAGGTCACTAGTAGGGTCACATGTGGTATTGACTGTATCAGAGAGTTTCAAAGAACTTTTTTAGCAAATCAAAATTTTACTATAAATATCCGTATTAATATTTTTGTTAATATATTTTTCCAGTTTTTAATAGACCTTTTGCATTTTTTAATACTAATTTTCTTTGTTTTCTTCGTGTCAGTTTTTTAAACTTTGCCATTAAATGTTATTCCCCAGGAACTAGCAGTGTTTTTCTGTTGGTCTGATCCCAGAAATACATTATGCATGGGCTCAGAACTATAAAAACATTCTTTGGGCTGAGGGTATAGCTTAGTGGTAGATGCTTTCCTGACGTGCACAATGCCTTGGGTTCAATCTCCATAAAGGAGAAGAAAAGAAAGAAATCTTGGTGTATAATGTGTATAATAAAATTGTAGGAGTTCTGTTTACTTCATCTTAGAACCCAAACAACATAAAATATACTGCACATGTTGCTAGAATAATCATGTTTTATATGTTGTTATGGTTACTGAAATATCTTGAGTTTTTTTAGGAGTTGGGACACTGGGCATTTCTGTTCTTTGTTGTGTGTGTATATGTTCAAGGAGGGTGTGCAGGCATTGAACCCAGGAATTTCATGCCGAGCTACCTCCCTAGACTTGTTTTTTTTTTAAATTTAATTTATTTATTTGTGTGTGTGTGTGTGTGTGTGTGTGTGTGGCCAGCTCAGCCCACCAGGGGGCGTGGCTGGCTGGCATGTGGTGCTGGGGGATTGAACCGCGGTCCCTGTGCTTTGCTAAGCTTGTTCTAAGTAGGTGCTTTAGACCACTGAGCCATCTCACCAGCCCTCTAGACTTGTTTTTAATTTAAGACAAATCACTAAGAAGTTGCCCAGAGTGGGTTTAAACTTATGATCCTTCTGCCTCACCCTTTCAGAATGCAGGGATTATAGGCTTGCACCCCCATGTCTGGCTAAATATTTGTTTATGAATCATGAATGCGATGAAACAGTAAATAGAACACAGTCATAAAACCCTCTGTCAGTGACACACATAGCGTGTATGGCAGTCTTTCACCTGTAGGTAACTTGCAGAGTGGGAGAGAATGTGTGAGTGTGTGAGGGCAGTCTTGGCAGTGCGGGGTGGAGCCAGGGCCTCTCCTGTAGGCAGGCATTTTTCACAGCGCTCTGTCCCCAGCCCTTTATTTCCGTACTGGGGACACGGTCTGGCTGGGCTGCTTAGGCTGGTCCCACACTCGTGGTCCTCCTGTCCAGCCCCTAAGTAGCTGGGATTGCAGGTGTGTGCCTTTAGGCCTGGTTGGATAGTAGTATTTATAAGCCAGTTCTGAAGATGCAGGACACTCCTCCTTTTGTGCCTGTGGACTTTAGCATGCATCGTGCACTATGTAATGGTTTGGTCAACTGCAGTGGGCCCTGTGTGAGACAGTGGTCCCCTAAGATGGTGAGGGAGTTGAGAAGCCCTGTGCCCAGCGGCATCGGTGCCATGCTGAAGTCCTGGTGTGGTGCTTTTGTGGTGATGCTGGCGTAAACCTCTTACATGGTCAGTTACTCACATGTGATGAGACCTTGTGACTGGCTTATATGTTTACTGTGGTAGGGCCAGGGATGTAGCTCAGTGGCGTGTACTTTGTGTCAGTGTCTAGAAAGTCATTCTGCTTTCCTGGAAATCTCAGAAACAGTGAGCTGTGATCTTTCAGTCGGTGACAGCCTCACACAGACTTGAATGTGTCATCTCTTGATCCCTTCAAGGGACAACACAAGTGGGTGCCCTGGCACTCACGGGGACATCACCTGAGGGTGACCTCTGTGTGTGGGGGCCACGAACTGCAGAGCTGTGATCCCTGCAGCATGGGTTAGGAGGTGTGACAGGAGATGGGCACCGGCGGGGTGGTGCTGTGGCCTTTGCACACAGCTGTGTGGCCGGGCCCGGCCCAGGAAAGGTTTCCATCGTGGTCAACTATTTTGCTTATATTTAAACTTGTTTCTGCACACACACAATCTGGATTTTTAAAAATTATACCAAAGTCAGTGGTATGTACTCTGCCAAACGAAAGGAATTTTTTTTCTGTTATTAGAAGTAAGACAGCCACAAACCAGAAAAATGAGCCTGAGTAGAGTGAAACAGCCATGTGTGTTAGAAGAACGCAGAAGGTCGTTTGAAGAACTTTTTTTTTTTTTTTTTGGCAGAACCGGGGATTGAACTCAGACACTTGGGCTTGCCAGGCAAGCGCTTATTCTACTGAGCCATCTCCCCGGCCCTGAAGAACTTCCTTTTGTTGAAATTTTAAAAATTATGTGCATTGGGAGAAACAGTTATTCTCTTTATTTCTGTAAATATTGCCAAGTGGACTTCTTTACAGGACTAACCCTACATGAGCAGCAGCAATTCGCAAAAGTGAATCTCCAGGATGTTTATCAATTTTGAAAGAAAGTTTATCAAATTTGTAAAATATGTCTGACACATTTAAATGTCTCACTTGAGAGCTGGCATGTATGCTGCTTTGGTTTTTCTGGTCAGCTTTTTGTTTTGTTTTGTTTTGTTTTGTTTTTTCAGAACCAGGGATTGAACTCAGACCCTTGCACTTGCCAGGCAAGCACTTATTCTACTGAGCCATCTCCCTGGCCCCTGTTTTGTTTTGTTTTGTTTTGTTTTGTTTTGTTTTGTTTTGTTTTGTCTGGTCAGCTTTTTAGCTTTTACCCACAAAATTTGATTTCTCATGCTTGAATTTGGTGAGGAGAAAGTCTCCTGCACCTCTGGGCACCCCAGCAGTGTATGGGGAGTGCCCTGGACACTTTGGAGCTCTGTGGGTTGTCATGGTGGCACTGATGGAGCACCCCAGATGGTGACTTTGTGCACAGCAGCAGGGTGGCGCCCCGTTCTGAGGTCCCAGGTCAGTGTCCTGTGTCCTCCATGTCAGGAGGGGAGAAAGCCTCCTGCCCTCTTCTAGGTGTGAGGGTCACCCCCACAACATGACCGCCTCCCACTGCTTGGTTCCGGCCCACTGGGGACTGGGGGCACTTGGTCAGATTGCAGTAGGACATTAGATGAAGTTGTTTCACAGGATTACTTGAGAGTGGTGAGTAAAAGTCGAAGCAGTGCATGCAAGATGGGAGTTTTATGCTGCCACTGAAGTGGGCTTGCAAATTTGCCAGCTTAGGTGTGTGTTGAGGTTTTCCCAAAGGATGTGGTCTGACTGTACCAGGCCTGCTGTGGTAGTAGATGCCACCTACTTGAAATAACAATTTCCTTTGGAACTGCAGGTTTTAAAAAAAAAAAGGAGCTCGATTTTTATCAGGTGTGTCTTTCGGCTTTACTAAAGCTTTAAAAAGCTGAGACTTTCCTGTTGGGAAAGCTGAGGTCAGAGCCATGGGCTGCCCTCTGGGTAGCCAGTGTGCATTGTCAGGGGCGCAGCTGTGCCTGTCCTGTAGGTGTGGTAGGAAGGGGGCTGCACATGTGAGCCCTGCACCTGCTGGTCCTGCAGAGTTGGGCAGAGTGCTTACAAATGGTCTTGTGTGGCAGGCAGCTCATGAGAGCAAAGGGCTGTTGGTAAATGTGAACTCATGCAGATTGTTCCCTGCTCTCTAATTCTCATGTGATGTACTGGGGAAATCACAGGAAAATGGAAGTCATTGTTCATTGGTGTGGCTTCTGCTTTGAGAGCTCTCAGGGAGCCACTTCGCTTGGTTCATAGGCCCCAGGGGCAGACTTGT